TCTTGTAAGGATAAATGAGGAAGTATATATATGATAGTATATATCAAGCAAATAGTTCTGCAAATGGTAGCTAATTATATTGAAATATTTCTGTAAATAAGACCTTATTAAGCACATATACTAGTTACTCTACTGCGGCTCTCTGATTTTTTTTTTTTTTAACATATAAGGTTTCTGAAGGCCTCCGCACTGAAGAGGTTATTCCTAATGCTCTAGCAATTGCATTGATCTCTTTCTTCCCGAGCGCTGAGTGTCATAAGGCTAGTTCTGGAGTGGGGTTTAAGGATTATCACGTGAAGATCCTCTCTCCACTCTTGATTCATTCACTGCGGTCAATGCGCCTCCAATTTCCATTAAGTAAAAGGTTTTCTTTAATCCATATACATTGAACTGTGGCTTGACTTTGGTGAAGTACAAGGGAGTAATTGCTTTGAGACCGTTCTAGTAACATCAAAACACAAGAGTAGGGCTCAAGTGATTTGTCAGGCAGCTTTTAAAATTGTTGCTTATAAAAGCAAGAAGAAAGAGATTTTCCTTGGTTTTAAAGGCAAGGCTTTGACTAATTATTTTGAACTACAGTTCCCAGAATGCCATCTGCTGACATAAATGAACGCCTACTTGAAGTTCATCCTGAGAGCCTGAGACCAATTTGTCTATTTCATGGCTCATAAACTACTCAGATCCAAGCAACAATATACCTAGGAAAGGTTTCCTGGACTAAAGTGAGGCAGAGAAAGGGGCCAGTAACTAAACACTCACCTGAACGGTATTTTTGAGGCATTATTTGGCTAAATGCTCCAGTTTCGCTTTCCTCTGCAGTGGAGAGACTCGTCCTCCAACTGTTCAATGTATGAAGCACTGCACAGACGAACAGTAACTAGGGCTATGCCCCGCTCCATCCCTGGGGATTACAGTCTAGCCTTAAGGATGTCCAAGGCAAATCAGTCTAAGGAAAATAGCATTATTTAAGGATCTCTGAATCAGAGGACCAAGACCCTGACCATACTTTTGATTTTGTAAGATTCTTTATTTCGACCTATGTTGAGTGGTATTTGCATTGTCCTCGGGTAAAGAGCAAGGTTAAAGTCAGGTCTCTGGGTATCGACTCAAAGTGGAAAAACTCAACATTGGGGAAATGAAGTCTCTTAATGGATCCTTGCCCAGGTTTCTTCGTCGGTAAAATACAGACAAGAATACCTATGCACTGCAAAAGGTGCCCCTGTTTCTGTAAATAAAACAACCATTTATTACCTAGGAGACTATGACTATGAGCTGCAATAAAAAAAATGATTTAAAGTGTAGTCAGACTGCCTGAGTTTTCTGTTCCACCACTCAGCTGGTAGAATAAATGGTTATAACTGGTTTCCTTAAGCCTCATTTGCAATCTTTAAGATGGAATCATTATAGCGTCTGCCACTTGGGGCTGCCATAGGGATGAAATGAGATGATACATGGATATCATCTCAAAGTGTCTGGCACGGGGATGGGCTCATGACAGGCATTCTCTACCTGCTATTGCTGGTAGACCCTTAATCTTTACCTTCTCCTGTTCCTTCAAAGCCCAGTTCTACACTGTCACCAAGCCCTGTTAATTCTCCATCTCTCTCTCTCTCTCTCTCTCTCCACTAATGATAAGTTACCTATGAAGGAGATGAATAAATTATTGCTATGAAAGATATACACTCATATAAGAGTTGGTTATCTCTGGGAAGGAAGGTAGGGGAACGGATTTTAGAAGGGGAACAAGGAAACGATCTGTAACATATTACGTTTTAAAATAGTATCTTATACAAATATGGCACTAAGGGTTAGATGGTATTTTTCTCTCTACTTTAATGTAGGCTAGAATTTTTTTCTTAATTAAAAAACCTGACCTCAGTAACAAAGCACTGTGATGTTAGACAGCTGACTTCATCTCTGCCAGCTTCATTTTCCTGATCTGTAAAATGGGAACAGTGGCACTTTTGTAATTGCAGGGCTACAATGAAGAACGCAGTGGGATTACACGTGGCCTTTAAAGAGATGTCATGGTTGTAATTATTACCATCTGGTAGTCTCTTTGTCCATTGTGTTTTCACCCTCTAATTTAAAATGCACCGGTTTGCAGAATAATCATCCTTGAACACTGCTTCAGCTCACTGCCCTCCCCGAGAGCCTGCATTTTCTCCCCGGAGTGTACCCAGCCCAGCCCAGTCGGGGCGGGGCTGGCTGGCGAAAGCCTCCTCAGCCCCTCTCCCAGCCCCAGCCCTACGGCTGCGCCTCAGTTACAGCAGTTATCACTTGTGCTGTCCTGTGAGAGCCCCTGAGAAGCAGAGGAGCTGGATTCAACTTGATATTTCCAGTGAAAGGGGGGAAGAAGAAAGGAAGGGAAAGACTTGGGGCTGGGCTCTCGTGCTGGCTCCCACACGAGCCCTCGCTGGGACAGTCTCCTTGGGACGAGTCATCTGAGCTCTGTGTTCAGTGTCCGACCTGTGGGGCGGGCTGGCTGCGCTCACGACGGCCCCTATCAGCAGGCCCTCCTCGGTCTACTCTGCCTACACTCAGAGAATCCCTGGCCGTCAGGCTGGGCTCCTAAACGTGCCACACGCACTCACTCGAATTCTATGCTTATTTTTCCCCAAATCTTACCTAGTCTCTGAAACCCTGCCTGCCCAAGTTCTAGGCCTACCTTAACCTTCCTCAATTTATTTTAACCCTAAATAAAAAAACCTAACACATATATAACTTATGGAGAACCACCGCTCTAAGCACTTCATACACACACACAAGCTAAAGCCTCACAAGAGCCCTGTGAGGTAACTATTATTATTATTATCCCATTTTACTGATGAGGGACTGAGGCACAGAGCGTCTGAATGGGCGTGGCCAAGGTCACATAGCCAGTAAGTGGCAGAATTTGAAGCCACGTGGTCTGCTTCAGACCCCATGTACTTCACCACCACCCTAAAACCCCTTGCTAATCAGTAGCTTTTAACTGCTACACTCTATCATATCATTTATATTTTCATGAAAACTGAGTAACACTGCACTCATTTACATCCTCTTAGATGTCCCGGTAGCTAACAGCATAAAGCTAACACCCCATAAACATGATCATTAGAAATGAAATCTTCATGTGATTACACAGGCCCAGGAAGGCAGACCTCTACTAGCTCAGGTGGACTCTACCCCCAGAAGATGCTCTCCTGACAGTCAGAGCGACCCCGTGAGAGAGGCAGTGTGGATCATTTGATAGGTGGGGAAAAGTGAGACGCAAAAGGCTAGGGTCACTTACTCCAAATTATACCCCAAAGCAGCAGTGCCTGGAACAACTCAACGCCACCTGACTCCAAGTCCTGGCACTTTTCTTTACCAGGCTGTCTGGGATTTCTCCCAGGTGAGGTCAGAGCAGTGAGACACTTGGAATATGGACAGGAAGTAAGGAGCGTAAGAAATGCAAATGCCCTTATAAATACCTGTTCTCGTCTTATGCGTGTTTTCCAATAAAAAAGAAATGAATGTGACACAAATCCTGGCTCTAAGCTGTCCTTAGCTGCTTGGAGACCTGTCTCACACATGTTACAAGGTGCTTGTGACAAGGGCCTGACCTTCAGCTGCATATAAATCAATGAAGTTAGAAGACACCCTCACACCATACACAAAAATAAACTCCAAATGGCTTAAAGACTTACACAGAAGACAAGACACCATAAAACTAGAAGAAAACATAGGAAAACACTTTCTGACATAAATCATAGTGATGTTTTCTTAGGTCAGTCTCTGAAAGCAATAGAAATAAAATCAGCAAAAATAAACAAATGGGACCTAATCAAACTTACAAGATTTTGCACTGCAAAGGAAACCATAAACAAAATGAAAAGACAGCCTATGGAATGGGAGAAAATATTTGCAAATGATGCGACTGACAAGGGCTTAATTTCCAAAACATACAAACAGCTCGTACAACCCAATAATGAAAAAAACCAAACAACCCAGCCAAAAACTGGGCAGAAGATATAAATAGACATTTCTGCAAAGAAGACATACAGAAGGCTAATGGGCATGTGAAAAGATGCTCAACATTAGAGAAATGCAAGTCAAAATTACAATGAGGTATCACCTCACACCAGTCAGAATGGCCATGAGTATAAAGTCTACAAATAACAGATGCTGGAAAGGGTGTGGAGAGAAGGAAGTCCCCCTACACTGTTAGTGGGAATGTAAATTGGTACAGCCACTATGGAAAACAGTATGGAAGTTCCTTAAGATATTAAAAATAGAGCAACCAAATGATCCAGCAGTCCCATTCCTAGGCACATATCCATAAAAGAGGAAAGCTCTAATCTGAAAGATACATGTGCCCAGTGTTCACAACAGCACTATTTACAATAGCCAAGACATGGAAGCAACCTAAATGTCCAGCGACAGATGACTGGATAAAGAAGTTGTGGTATATATATGTACAATGGAATACTACTCAGCCATAAAAAGAATGATGCCATTTGCAGCAACATGGATGGATCCAGAGATATCATACTGAGTGAAGTAAGTCAGAGAAAGACAAATATCATATGGTACCACTTATATGTGGAATCTAACATATGATACAAATCAACTGATTTACAAAACACAGACTCACAGACATAGAAAACAAAATAGTTACCAACGGAGAAACGGGGTAGAGAAGGGAAAAATGAAGAGTTTGGGTTTAGCAGATACACACTACTATATATAAAACAGATAACAAGTTCCTACCGTATAGGGAACTATATTCAATATCCTGTAGTAAACTATAATAGAAAAGAAAATGAAAAAGAATATATATATAACAATCAATTTGCTGTACACCAGAAACTAACACAACACTGAATCAACTATACTTAAACAAAAAATTAAAAAAAAAAAAAAAAGAAAAAAAGCAAACCAAGAGCCTGTCCTTACTTTCACTTCCGACAGGGCCCGTAATTATACAACGATGCATTTCAGAACCCACTGTTGGCTTACACGAGCCAGTTCCTTACCTGTCACTTGCACCCGTGTCCTGGGCGTGGAGGTTTTCCTTGCCGGCCACCTGAGCTGCTCTTCTGCTTGCTTCCTCTTCTGCCTCACTCAAGCTCTCCTCCTCTAAGCTGTCAGGCTCCATATGGTCGTCCTGGATCCGGTCTTCAAGTTCAGACTGGGGCTTCATCTCCTGAGTGAGGCTTTCTGCGTCAGATTCCAAGGAGTCTTTTGAAATCAAATGGAAGTCTTCTTTCTTAAAAGGTGCCTCTGTGGACTGGGCCTTTAAGTTGGTGTGATGAACAGGAGATTGAATAGAGAGCTTGGGAATTAATATTCTGTGACTCATGTTGGAAAAATATAGAAATTGACAGGGATACTCTTGTGGATGGCAGCAGCTGGTTGAATATTTAAAGTTGTGGTTCACAAAAGCGTTTGCCTAAAAAAATCACATTTGTGTTACTCTGTGACTACTGAAATCTTTTCAATTCCAATGTTAATCACAAATTTAAAGGCATAAGAGAACCTCTTTATATTATCTGCTGGCTTTTGTATGCACCCTTTTGTGTGCATGAGAAAGGTCTGCTGGGAAAACTATTGTGTTTTTCCCTCTGCAGAAACACATCTGATGTGGAGCTTATAAACAGTCTGAGTAATCAAATGCAGCTTTATTGAGAAAATCAAATGGCTGAATTCTTTTTTTCTAGCTTCCAAGGGCTTGTTACAGGTAAGTCTGGACAAAGCCAATTGGTTAATTATGGACAGGACTTCGGTGGCCTTATATCAAATACCCAGGGCTCTGATATAAATATGCCATGTTCAGTAGTATTTATGGACGGAGTGAAACAGCTTCAGGGTCTGCCTTTTGGAAAGGAAAGGGTGGGAGTGGAGAGGAAGAGGATGCTTTCCGCAGTTAGAAATGTGAAGTCGGAAGCTGTTTCGTTCATAGACCCGCACTGGCTGACTTTTTGATACCCAGCTTGCTGCTAGGTGGGAAGATGTAATTTAGGTGAACATTACATGGAGATCACCCTCAGCTCAGTATAAAAACAAATCCTTTGGTAACAATTAAAACTGTTCAACAAAATATTGGGTGGCCTTGTGAATTGTGCCATTGAGTGACTCACAGCAGAGGCTGGATATCCACCGACCTGAAAGGATGCTGTTCTGGGGACTGTTGGGTGGATGAGAGATTGGCCTGGATGACAGCTCAGGTCCCTTCTAACTCGCTTAAGACTGTGACTCAAAGTGAGCCCGCTCTGTCTCAAAGACCCACGAGAGGGTTTATAGAAAGGGTGCTTTGAGTTCAGATAGGATTGAAAGGAAATGATGTTTTGAGGTTGTGTTTCCTTTCATCTCTACCTAGCATTTCTATTCGCTCTGTCTTCTGTCTCACCGCCTTTACGTCATTTTTTTTCCTGTGGGTCAGATAACAGAAACCACCTTTCTCATCAGAGATTACTGTAAAATTTGTTTTAGTGGCTTGCTCTTGCTCTTTGGCAAATCCTAACTAATTAAATAACACGAACTTACTCCTATTCCTTACAATGTTGACCTTGTTGCTAACGTTTCCAAGGAACATCATCAACTCCTTGGAGGAAATCTTAACAAACAAAACAGACCAAAGGTAGCATTCATATTTAAATACGTATGATAGTTAAATACCTAATGATTTTCTTTTTAATTCAGAGTCCACCCTGTTGGTAGACTAACCTATTGTTGTCAAACTGTACAGACTGGTTTGCTGTATTAATTCTCATATTTTAAAAACACATATTTCATTCTACCGTATTAATTCTAATTTTGGTAAGTGAATTAACTGTTGCTTTTAGGATATTTTTAGAAAGTGGCAAATCTATCATGTACTAACACATTTTAACTGGAACAGCTAGTAATAAATACCAGTTTTACTTTGAGAGTTCAAGTCCCTGTACTTGGGACCTCAAAGAAACTCTTAAAATAATCACTATATTTCAATTTGGTATGACTCCTTCCAGAAATTTGGTCCCTTCAATTTCTCTTCTTTCTTTAAATGACGTGGACTAGGGTTTCTTGGAGATAATCGGTTAAAAATGATAGAAAACTTTTGTTAATGAAATTTGGGAGACTATGGAGAACAAAGCCAGCTACCATCAAGGCTGGTCTTCTGTGGAGGCGGGAAGTTACAAAATCATGGGATTAGAGAAGGAAAAGCTGACAGCTCAAATAAATTAGAAAGTGGGAGTTTTAAATGTAACGAATGTGGCTTCCTAATGGCACAAAGTTTTTCACTGAAATTTCTGACGAAGAGGGGCTGACACCTCTCCAAAGTAAACAAGACAGGGATATATCCGGTGACACTAAGAATCAGCTAATTCCCTAGGGGTCCCTCCAAGACCTTGGGTCTAGCCAACTAGCCCTGGAGAAACAAATTTCCTTCTTTAGCTGAGAACGAGTCCAGCTTTAGGGACTCAACGACCAAGATAGCGGTAGAGAAAAAGTTGCGCTATTTTGAAACAGGCCCCAAGCTGCCCAAAGGGGCGTTGGGTTTACTTTCTCCCGCTGCTTTTCTCCTGTGGACAAGACTGGGCACCCAGGGGGCGTTTTAAGGCCAAGGAAGTGACGGGTCCGGTGGGTCTGGTGCCCTGGAAAGGTCTAATCAACGCAGGCTAGGGCTGCTCTGGGAGTCTGGGCACCAAGGCCTTTCCGGATCCCGGCCACTGGTCCCTGGGCCCTCGTCCCTGCCTCGGCCACAGTCCACCCTTCCTGCCTGGTCCCAAATGCTCTTCAGCGCCGGCTCTTTTGAGCTCTCCCGGTCCTGATCCAGTTTCCTCGGGAGGTTCCTGCTGTCCCCACCCCCAGTCCTACCCCTCCCGTTTCCCCTCTCCCCCAGGGCGCACCGCCCACCCCGTTCAGGAGGCAACCGCCTGTCACCTGCCCAGCGCTCCTGGCTGCTGCGACCCC